TGTCTATTTTCATTTAATATGTAAGATTACTAACAATCACCAAATTATTCTTCAGTATTACCACCAGTAAGTTTATTTCTCTATAGAAAAGCAGAAAAATCATTGGTGCTCTACTTTCTTTCCTCTTTTCCTCTTTAAGCTTTCTTGCTGGTAGTTGGTTTTGTTTTTCCCATGAGTTCTGTGCTCGCCTGGGCTTGATGGTACCCTATGTACCCATAATCCCCACTGGTTCAGAGGCTGAGGCTGGGGGACCGTAGGTTGAGTCCAGCCGGGGCCTCTTAGTGAGGCCTCATCTGCAGAGCACCCATGCCTTTTTTTTTTCTGGTACCAGGAATCGAACTTACAACCTTGGACTTGCTAGGCAGGCGCTGTGCTGCTGAGCTAAATCCCCAGCCCCTGCCCATGCCTTTAGATGAAAAAGAGCATCCATGCCATGTATGCTTCAGATTTTTTTTTAAAAATTGTTATTACAGATACAGTTTTTTTCTTTGAGGCAGGGTCTTATTATGTAGCGGAGGCTGGCCTTGATTTCCCCATGTAGCTGGGATGACAGGTGTGCACCACCACCCCAGCTCAGATACAGTTGAAGAGATCTAATTGTTTTTCTTTCACTCTCATAAATGTGTGTGTGTGTGTGTGTGTGTATTTGTGTTCCAGTGAACATTCTTCCATGTGTTTCCTTGTGTGCATTTACAAACGTTCCCTTAGGACAGGTTTTTACACTTAATGTTAGTCAAAGGCCAAGAAGTCATGGGACAGTTTTTAAATTGTAATGGCCCAGGGGCTGGGGTTTATTTTTATTTTTATTTTTTTTCAGTACTGGGAATCGAACTCACGACCTTGTGCTTGCCAGGCAGGTGCTGTGCCGCTGAGCTAAATCCCCAGCCCAAATGCACATATTATATATCTATATAAGTAAACACGTCCATATGCAATACCTGTATACAAGTATACATACACAGACATAAATACGTATATTTGTTTTACGAAATTTGTTTCATTTCTATATTCACTTATATGTATCTGTTGAGTTTTCAAATACTTTGGATCATGGATAAATTAGAATGACAAATCTTGATGGTGATACTCCTGCTTCAGCCTCCTGAGTACTGAGATTACAGGCGTTGCGTCACTACGATTGGCTCTGGGCTTACATTAAAAGATATTCCACTGTTGTGTTCTGTTTGTTCATTCCAGCATTGGTTTCACAGTGCTTTCATTATTGTAGCTTTATAATAAATCTTAACACCTGCCAGAGTAAGTCCATTCACAGTGTTCTTTTTTTAAAGACTGCCTGGGCTATTCTTAGTCTTTGCTTTTCCATGTGAAGTTAGGACAGCTTGTCTGGTTTCATGAAGCCTGGGCTTGGGATTTGATTATTACGTTATAGTCAGAGGGCAGCTGTGGAAGAATTTATATTTTCATAATTTTCTAGTTAGGAACATGACATGGTTCTTCATTCATGTGTTTCATGGTTATTTCTAATCTTTAATAAGGGTTGTACCTGTTTTCCTAGCTCTCTTATTACTCCATTGTCATTTAAAATGTTATTTCCTTAAAATTTACAATTTTTATTGCTAGTACCTCAAATGGTGTTATTTTTACATCTGCATATCAACCTTGTGAACTCTTACTAGTTCTACCATGAATTTGTCATAGGTTCTTTTGGAATTTTTATATAAATTTTGTATTATCTGTGACTTGGTAGCATTTTTATTTTTCCTTTGTTTCTCCCATCTTTTTTCTCTGGGTAGATCCTTTGTTTTTTGAGACAGGGTCTCACTGTGTAAGGCAGACTGACCTTGAACTTGCTTGTGTAGTCGAGGCTGGCCTCAAACTCATGGCGATCCTCCTGCCTCAGGCTCTCGAGTGCTGAGATGACAGGGCCGCATCACCACGGCCGGCTGCTCTGCTCTGGGTAGATTCTTACCATGAGTCAGTTGGCTGGGCACAGAGGACTGCGTCCCTGTGGCTCTAGCCTCCCGCCGAGGGAGAGGATGGATGTTCCTGACAAGGAGACGCATAAAGCTGGGCTGTTGCTGTCTGCCTGTCATCCCAACACACTGAGAGGCTGAGGCAGGCGGATCACAAGTTCATGCCCAGCCTGAGGAGCTCAATGACTCAGTGAGGTCCTGCCTCAGAATAAAAAATACAAAAAGAAGTAGGATCTGCTACCACTGTTAAAAGCCAGGCCACCTCAAGAGGAACTGCCCTAAGAGGCCCCATGGGCCGTGCCCTGGATGCAAAGGAGACCACTGGAGATCGGTCTGCCCTCTGAGGTGGAGGCCCCAGAGCTCAGACCCATGCTACCAGTTAGTCCAACAGGAATGAGAGGGCTTGGGGCATGCTCTGCCCTCTCCCTCTGGCCAGACCGTCATCTCCATCGAGGAGCCCTGGGTAATCATGACTATGGAGGAACAAGAAAACAGCCTGCTGCTAGACACAAAACAGGTGCAAGTCTCTCGGTCCTTCTTTTCAATCCTGGCCTTCCTTCCAGCCGTCATACCTCAGTGAAAGGAGTCACTGGTGAGGAGGTAATACACTATTTTTGACAACCCTTAGGCTGTAACTACTTATTAGATCCTTCTTGCATATCTCTGTCTTCCTGAGAAACCACTTTGAAGATACCACCACGTATTACAGCAGCCATTGATATTTTCCTACTAATCTATCCATAACTGTGTTAAGTTTGTAATGTTCCTATCCTATTTCATAATGTATGTTTATTATTATGTGTTTCCTACAACAACCATTGAGAATAGTTAATGATTTTTCAATAGGTCACTCATGTATAGCTCTATTTATTTTCTTTAGAAGCCACTTTGAAGATACCAAAGTATAGCACAACAACTCTTGATAATCTCCTACCTCTTTTGTGTCTAACTCACTATTATTTGTCTATTTGTTTTCCTGAGAAAGTATTTTGTAGATAATAATATGTAAAACGATAACCATTGATAATTTCCTACCATTTTGTCTGTAATTTGCTAAGTCCCCCCTATTATTATGTTATCCTTTTATTCTTTAAAATAAAAAAAAATTAAAAGAAAAAGAAGTAGGGATGGAGCTCAGTGTAAAGGCTCTGGGTTCAGGCCCTGGAAAACACACACACACACACACACACACACACGAGACATGATTGCTAAGGCAAGAAAAGCTTAAAAATCAACCTGTAGCTGGACATGGTGGGGCATGCCTGTGATCCCAGCATTCAGGAGGCTGAGGCAAGAGGATTATTTCGAGTTCAACACCAGCCTGGGCTACAGAGTGAGCTAGCTCAAGTTCAGCCTGACTACATAGCCAGACCCTGTGTCAAAAAGAGGAAAAAAAAAAAATCAACTGGCAATGAAATAAAGCTGAGGTCCTTGTCTTCCAATTACTTATGGTCTGATTAACCAGTTAAGACTTATTCTTAGTGGCTGGGGATATAGCTTAGTGGGACAGGTGCCTGCCTGGCAAGTACAAGGTCCCGAGTTGGATTCCCAATACAAAAAAAGAAAAAAAAAAAGACTTATTCTTGCCAGGTGTGGTGGTGCCCGTCTGTAATCCCAGCACTTGAGAAGCTGAGGCAGGAGGATCACTAAGAGTTTGAGGCTAGCCTAGGCTACATAGTGAACTCAAGGTCAGGGTGGATTACATGGTGAGATCCTGTCTCAAAAAAAAAAGGGCTTATTCATGTGAAAGCAATTAGAAAGCAGAACAGGTTAATATATTCAATATCCAGCTGGTTTATAAAAGCTTAAGCTACCTTATAAAACAGGAGATTCTTTTCTGCCCGGTTTCTGCCTGTACCTCACAACTGAAAGTTGGCTGTTTAAGAGCCTGTGATAAGAACTTGACAGTAAACAGAGCTGTTAGGACTTGTGAGTTAATTCTGTGGTTATCTGCTGCTATTTTTGCAGAGATTATCTAAGATTTGTGAAGTTCATTTGGAACCCAGGTATTATGAATATCAGATAAAAAGAAATGTAGTATTTTTCTGAATGATAATTTTCTAAGCTTTGAAAAACAGTTGTGAATGGATGGTAGATTCAGAAAGGTCTGGTTTGTTATTTCGATCAAAATATGCCCCTGTGTGCTATATAAATACATACATTTTTCACATATACCATGAATCATGCAAAGAGTGTGCTTCTGTCTTGCCGTAAACAGAAATTTGCGTTGTCAGAATTATTTCGGTAGAAATTAGACCTTAGTTGATGACCGCTCACACGAGACCTTATTAGACCTTAACTGCTCACATGAGATTGGCAGTGTATGGGACTGAAACTTTATACTTTCGGAGGCTGTGGCCAGCGATGTGTGTCTGCAGAGATACACATTTTGTGTATCTGTTCACGTACGTATGTGTCCTTACATGCTTTGGGAGTTTATTTCACTAACAGTATGATAGGACACTGAGGAATTAAGATGCTTCTTTTTTTTCCTTTGTGCTTCTGGGGAGTGAGTCTAGGGCCTCGTGCGTGGGAGGTAGATCCCCTGCTTTGAGCTGCTTTCCCAGCCTGGGGTTTGGTTTGCACTCACTCAGGTTAGACGGTTAGGCTACAGCCAAATTACTGAGTTTAATACCAGTTTAAAAATAACCCTGATGAACAACAGATGGAGCTGGCTCACAGTTCCTTGGGAACATCGTTCAGTGGATACGGTTTATGTGAATGGAGTTCAAGTTTATGAATCTGTGTTTTAGGGTTTTTTCTAGAATTAATTGACTTGTGTATTTTGTGTGCGTACATTTTCTGTAGAGACTAGGACATGTTTGCATTAGGAGTATCAGCAGGCAACTCTGCAGCCATAAGTTTGATAAATGTTGTTTTTTTGGCTGAAGCAAAGAACTTTGAGATTCTTTCATACTGATGTGTAGGAACAAATTTAGACCTTAGAAACAAACCAGGAATTTTTATAGCTTAAGAGCATTGCCTTGCATATTTCAGATAGGAGGCCTCTTCATAATCTTTTTTTTTTTTTTTTTTTTTTTTTTTTTAACAAAATGAACTCCTAGATTCTTAGGCTGGAATATTTATTTAGGAAACATCCAATTTCTTAGTATATGTCAAACACAGTATAAAGCATTGGAGGGGAAAAAAATAAAAATCTTACCTCTGCATTTAAACAGTTAAGAGTCCAGTGCTTAATAGACATTGAAAATTACGTACCACAGTGGACTAGTTACATAATAGTGTGTTTATGAAGTTCTGTGGAAACAAAGAAGAAGCACATGGGGTCCTGAGGAAAGATTTCCAAGAGTGACACTTAAAGACTGGGTCAGTCCGCCAGGAGGACAGCCGAGGACATTCCAGGCAGGGCGTTAACATGGGTAGGCACAGCCTGGGGCAGCCTGTGAGACAGTAACGTAGGAGGAGAGGGGTCGGAGATGAACCTGGAGAGGTGGGCAGGAGGCAGATCGTGAAGGGCTTTGCCCCGTACCGTTCGGCAAAGGGGAGCCTTGAAGACTGTAAGGAAGTCATAATCACAGGAGATTCTGGAAGCATGGCCGTCCATCCATCTTCCTCGTTCATTTTTGTGTAGTACTGTTTTGAGTCAGTGAGATACTCTCTAGGCGAAAAGGAGAGATTTCTCCAGCCTAGCACTGACTGCACAGGTTCTCTGGCAGAGAACAGGAGAAGCCGTGAAGTGGGACCTCCTGACCGCTAGAGAGACATTGTTGTTCTCTTTGGGTAAGCAGCCAGATGGAACATTTAGAAGTACCGAATGAACTTGGCCGCCAGGGGAATACCTGGACCTGTGGTCTTGCATCATATAGCAGCCCAGAGTTGATGAGCCGAGACCTTGTCCTTTGCTTTTCCTGCAGAATCACCATGGTAGGAAGATACAGTCTCTGCGGGTTTATTTTTAGAGAGTGATATCAATTAGAAGCTTAAGTTGTATACTCAGATCTCTAAATATACAGAGTACAAATTACACAGTGTAGGAGAAATTTGGCTTAGTAATTTCCTCCCATGTGGTAAGGCTCATAATCTTGATTTTAAACGATGTATATTGCCCCCAAATGAAGCCTAACTGAAGTTATTAATGTAGATCAAAATAGAAAACAGTACAGTGAAAATTCCTGGGTCTCAGAAACAAAGGGCATTCTGATACTTGACTGCGTGTGTGTGTGTGTGTGTGTGTGTGTGTGTGTGTGTGTTTGTGTGCGCAGGTCATAGGGCACTGCCTGGATCTCGATCTCTCTCCCTCCCTCCACTTCCTCCTCCCTCCCCTCTTCCTCCCCTTCCGTCTTCCCGCACTTCACTGGCCCACATGAGGCCTCTGTGGGATTTCGAGAAGGGCACACAGAGGCTCCTGGGAAGGGTGCTTTGATAAGGGAATGCTCATGTTCCTCTAGGAAGAGGCAGGCCTCGTATTTGGACTAGATTTGTGCCCCGCTTGTCTCCTGGGCCAGGGGACTTCAGAGTGATCGATTGTACCTGGTGGTCCTATTAAAGTCTCTCACAGCAGAACGCATCTTAATTACATCTTGTTCCAGTCCCTTCTTTCTTCTTTGAAAAAGTGATGTACAAACGCTGTCCTTCATCTAGAGCGTGAGCTGCCCCTTTCTCTTTCCTTCCGTTGCTCGGCGTGCCTTGGCAGCTGTACTTCCCAGTTCGGAGTTGCAGTTGTCATGTGGGACCATCTTAGCAAATGCGAGTGTTGATAAATAGGGAAAGCCGGAGACAGCTGCTCTGCGGTCTCCTAGCGGCAGTGCCCGTGGCAGGCTGCTTCTGTGTGGGCATCGGGGTCACACCCGGGAGCCTGCGAGCCAGCCCCCGGCACGGCCCACCAGCTCCTGTGTGCTGCGGCGGCCGGATCGCTTCCCTCGCCCGCACTGGGGCACGCGGAGGAGGAGCAAGAGCGTGCATCACAACCTAGTTCCTTCAGTTCCCAAAACTGCTTTTCATGTTTGTATCCAACCTTGTTCTTTCAAACTCTGCTGGTGCTTTGAAAATCAGACAAAAATGGTTCACAATATGGGTTAGGCAGATTTTCAGACAAAGTAAGACCAGCGGTAGCTTTGTAGACTCCTGAGTATTTATTGCAGAGTGTTTGCAAGAAAATTCTTGGCAGGGGAGAATGTCCATTTTCAGTAAAACCAGAGAAAGGACAAGGTTCCACTTTGTGTTTCAGCTGCTAACAGTCATCTGGAGAGAGCCTCGGTCAGAGAAGTCAGACACAGGGGCATCCGGCAGCTCTCCCTGCTTTTTGGCGATGTGAGGTCTGCCGGGGCCGAGGGGCTGGGCTTTTGAAGAAGAGTGGCATCTTTGGAATCTCCACTGGAGTCTGCTAGGGTTAAAATAGCCCCAGAGCTTCTAAGTGACAGAAAATAGAACTGCCTCGGGATGGCAAAGTGAGACACACAGAACCCGCCTGGGTTGGTCTGTGGAAACAGCCAGGCCTGCGTTCTCAGTTCCAGCTACTTTGGTATCTTCTGGTTTTTCTTTTTCTTCCTTTTCTTTCCTTTCCTTTCTTTTTTTTAAACTTTTAAAGCAAATTCTTCTTTGGAAAAAACTTAACGTGAATTATGAGGTTGTGAACGAGGGAGAAAGGCTTGAATCCAGTCAGATTTTTGGCCTAAAATATATGGCAATTTAGTTAAAAGTAAACATTACAGTTTCAGAGTTCTTCCAAAGAAGAACATTGTTTATATCTATACATGAATGTTTTAAAAGTTCTGGGTACCACAACAGATCAAAAAGTATTTTTAAAAATTTTAGACTTATTTTTAAAGGTTCCCTCCCCCAAAAAATTGTTTCATGGGAGCAGTGTGGTAACTGCATATAATTTATGGTGCGTTTGAATAAATAGTCATCCAGTTTGTGAAAGCTTCCTTCTGGTTATCATCTAGCGCTTAGCTATCATTCATTAAAGGACGTATACTATGTACTTCAGGTTTAGAAAGTAGTATCCTAAGCTTCATTAATTTAGGTTTGAGTAGTAGAAATCTAGGCAGTGTAACAGAGCTCTGAAAACAAATACAAGTCATATTACAGGCAAAAGGATCCAGAGGAAAGAAAGGCCAGGCTTGTTAGGGATTTTTCCTGTCTGGGGGACGGTCAGTTTATAATAACAAGTAACAAACCTTAGTTTATTTAAGCCATTTGTTTGTAATGTGTTCAATATTACAATACTACAATATTATAACAATAGTGGGAATTATTAGAAAAGAAAGCCCCCAAGCCACATTGCTTCAGTGCAGCAGTCTGACAGGTTTTCTGTATTATATATATATA